ATGGCATATGAATGATTGGAATCGGAGTGTACCATCTAAATAGTGTTCCTCGTAAGCGTTTTCTAGGGACGAAGTCTTCGTTATGGAGCGGTTCTCAGACAAGAGAAGAGAGTACCCCTCCCCACCCCCACGCCCCCCCCCCCCCCCCAGAAGGGTGTGGGTGTGTGTGGGTATGAGTGTGTGGTGGTTTCTTCTTGTCTTACATGCATATTCAAATCCACACTCACACGCGCAGTCTCACACCCACATCCACCCACACTCACGCACCCTTTCTTGTTGAGTATGAATTCCATTAGCATCTTTTGTTTGTTAACTGCGGTTATAGAAAGAGCATGAAATGTTTTTTTTTTCCTTTCACCTTGTTCAACGTTACTAAAGAGCAGTTAGAAGATCAGAGAGGTTGTGGGTGTGGGTATGGGCATTCTGTTTTATTCAAACCCGCACTCGCACCCACACTCACAAGCATACCCGCATACACAATCACACCCACAGCCACACACACCCGCACCCTCAAGTTGGGCATTCTTTAATAATGGGAGGAGTTTTTGCGGTTTGTGAGCAACAACTAACAGAGTTGCTCGCTGGAGATGTAAGCAACGCGTGTCTACATTGAACTGATTTCTAGTGTTGTATTCTATTCTATTTTGTCAGAAGATGATTTTCACTATCACGAAAGGGCTACCCAAAAGGATTTACTGTATAAACGCTGAAAAAGAAAATGTCGAAAAGCAAATATCGCACTTGAAAAAAGTTGAAGAAAAAAATGCCAAAAATGTTGAGATATTGTAGACAAATAATTCCGATATTTTTTTCGTTCGTATTCTCTGTCCAGGGCGAGCGAGTCTGGGTGTGGCTAAGGGCGTCGATAAAGATTAAATATTCATACCTTCACCCACTCTACATCCTTACCCACACTCTCGCGCTCAAGATTGTTAAATGCTTTATCGTTATCAGTCGGAATGAAAAAGTAAAAATGGGATGAAACTCGTGCTTTAGGATTTTATTAGGGGTGTCACTTTAACTTTGCTTTAAAACTTAAAGTTAAAGTTCTAACTTTAAACTTTAAGCACTTTAACTAATAAAGTTAAAGTTAAAGTGCCACCCCTAGATTTTATATATGTTTGCATATCTTTCTAAATGTATATCCTCTTTGAAAACGTTTTTTCTTTAATACAGAATAAAATATTTTCTTGAACAATAACATGGTTTTTTTCATTATTTTCTAGAAAAAGTACCTTTTGATGTTTATTCTTCGACTTTTTTCCTTTTCGACATTTTCCACTATGCACTTTTTTCTGATGATTTCCTCGTTTTGCTTCGACATCAGCTTTTCGACATTTCTTCTTTCGATATTTTCATTTTAGATAATTTTCCCTTTGATATTAAGTTTCGGCATTTTGACTCTCGGTGTTTTTCAATCATACTATCCAAAAATGTCTAACCTCTGAGAAAAAATGTTCGTTCTCATTTATAGTAAACTCAAAACTGGTCACACTTTGGTAACTTATGTCTTGTCTGTAGCCGAATGTTATCCGAAAGTTTCATGTCTCTATTCCTCATTATAAGAGAGATACATACGATAACATTTTAGAAAACGTTTTTTTCCCCATATCCAAAAGAAATGGTTGGCGCATAATACATAGGGTGAGGGTGTGGGTGTGAATGAGATGACATGTTAGTATGGATGCAGCTTTATATATCTCATCCACCCACGCTCACCCTCAAGAAAAGAAAGTAAGATTCATATTTTGCCAAAATGCCAAGTTCGGTGTCTACTAATAGAGTGTGGACAGCTGAATAAGAACCATGCTTTTTCCATATTTGTTGGAAAAAGAAGAGGTTTTTAGCCGAAACTTCTTCAAGCTACCGCCACTTATCTCTCGTTCCCTTGTCAAAGTGTGGTGCATGTTTTCAAATAACGTTAGCAATAAATCTTTACTTAGGCACATGACTGAAAAAGTGAAAAGAATTCGAAGACCTTGTCCACTACTTTTCTTTCTCAGTTAGTTCCTTATTTGTTTGTCTAGCTTTTGATTAATATTTCATTTCGGCTTGTTCTATCGAAATACGGCGTTTTATGCCGTTAAACAAAGTGATCATCACACGAATTTAGTCAGTGATATACTATCGTGTACGGAATCCATTCTTCTTGGCACTTTATTGTTTTCTAGGTTTATGGATTGAAACATTTTCCGCGTTTTAAAAATTACTGGATGATGATACATGCAAAGTTTCTTTTTTTGATTTCAGAAAGGTCTTTTTTTGACTGCTAAGAATCATGCCTGTTCAAACCAGATGTCAGTGGATTCAAGACCCACCATGCACAAAAAGTGGCCAGGTCGTTTGTGAAGGTTGTTCGAGAAAGCATTGCGCTCAACATCACTGCTCCCATCGACAAGAACTCGAAGCCAAGTTAGACGAACTTCTTCGTAACAATGAAACAGTACTAGATCAAGCTCAAGCTGCTAATCCAAAGGACAGCGCTTTGCAGCAAATTGACGAATATGAAGCTCAGATGACTGCAAAAATCCGTGAAAGTGCTGACAACGCACGTCAAAAAGTGAGACGTATAATCGAAGATGGAAAGAATGATGTGAAAAAAGAACTTCAAGAGATCAGAAACGGCATGCTAGAAAAAAAACAAAATGATGATTACTTTGAAAATGATCTGAAGGCGATTGAAAATAAAATGAACGATGTACAGAAAAACGCAGCTCGGCAACAACAGATTAAAGTTATATTGCAGCCAATTCAACAATGGGATCATTTGATTCAGATCGAAAAACCTGTCTCTATTAGAAGAGGTAGGAAACGTTTTGATTAGCCTTTTTGAGAACGCTAAAGCTGAAATGTTACTATATGAAGCAAATGTAGTGAATGATTCACGACTAGTAATTGCTGTAAAGCATTTGTAAATCAAAACAAAACTTCAGTTATTTTATTAGAAGTGAAAATCTAGTTAAAATAGTCTCTGTAATCGTTAAAGTTTCATCATATAAGTTATTACTGACTGCAGTGTAAACAAACGCATTACAAGTGTAACCATTGAAATCAAAGACTATCTTTTTCGGCGTATTAGGTTCGAATCGATTGTTTTCAGTTACGGCGCGAAAAAGTCAAACCAGAACTGGGAAAGGTCAAAAAGTGTAGGCTGATTTTGTTCTTGAAAAATTTCATAGCGGTATGGGGAATGTCACTTTTTATGTTCTGATGGCGCTGTTTGAGGTTCAGTCCAGTTCGGGATAATAACCAGCCATTAAAATTTAACAGAAATGGCCAACATTATGAAGTTCTTTCGTCAAATGATAGACAGGGCTGCATTAAAAAAAGCAGAGAAGTTGCCGCTATTTTCTTTAGACGCACAAAGGTGACTCTCAGTAGCCCATTCCTAACATTCACCCCGGCTGAATAATAGTTTGTGAAAAATAACTCAGTTCTAATTTGAGTAGTTATCACTTGTTTACTGTTTCCGGTAAGCATATGTCTTGAATATGACGTAGGGTAGAACTAGATTTCTAGCAAAAAAATCGGTAGTTTCAATTCATAAGAACACCATCGTAGACAGCGTAGTCCAAAACTAAAAGAGCAATTGCGTGAGCTGCATATAAGTTGTCTTTTACTTTCAAAGAGATCTTAAAAATGTAGACGAATTTTTGAGGGAGTAGAAAATTCGTTCATACGTGTTCTGCTTTATGCTTAGGTGCAGATTCGCTGCCAAAAAACTTTTCGAAAACTGCTATTAAACTGTCATGTTCCCTTAGATATTCTGACGTAATATAACGGCTCTATTTCCTATTTAGTTCACTTACTGTGTAGAAGATCATATTATGCAGGCAAAGCACATTCGTGCATCCCGGAAGTTTAAATTTAGATTTAATCAGTGGAAAATTTAATTTTCGATGCGATTAGTGTATTTTAAAACCTATATTTCTCAACTAAGCAATTTTTGGAAGCGGCAGTTTTGAGCTAAAAAAAGACCTCGGGATACTTTTATATTCAGATTCATCTGTACTTTCAAGTGTGTCGTTGCACGAACTGAGGAAGCAAAGTTTAACGAAACATATTTTTCGCCCGAATAGCAGAAGTTCCACATTTCGAGTTATCTACATCTAATTGAAACAGAGGCAAATCGCAAATTGTTTGCGCAATCTTAGCTTCCGCTACAGGATCCAAATATGCGATAAAAACTCTAAATCATTCTTTGCTGCAATTGTTTGTCTGTTATCCATGAGAATCATAAATCGCCCTCTGTAAAAATCAATCTTGAGTACTGTTAACTTACTATTATAATCGCGATTGGCTCTTTCCAGCTTGAGAATTTTCTCTTGTCACTGCACTGAAGTAAAGGGGAAAAGAAAGTTTGCGATTATGAAAACTAAATTTTAATTATTTAGTTACAAGATTTATAGCTTACGTTAGTTTTGTAATGTTCTCTTACTTCTTTACCTTCAGAACACACAGTGAAAGCCATTGTTGAAGAGTTAAAATGTACCAAGTATACCAGCGTTGATATATCAATTAACAATTTATCTCTTAATGAGGCTAAAATAATTGCCGAAGCAGTGAGAGTAACAGCTAGTACTACAAGCCTATCTTTCACGGCAAACCATGAATGTGATGATGGCTTCAAATACCTCCTTGGTTCGGTGCGTCAATGCAAACAGATAAATAAACTTACGTTTAAGTATGGTGCTGACAAGAATGAAGATGCCCCAGCAGAATTTTGCGCTAACGCAGTCTCTGATTACTTACGGTATAATACGACTGTTACTGTGTTGACGTTTTACTTCATGAAAAAAATAACCGCTGATGGTTTGAAATTGATAATTGATGCCATTGGAAAAAGCAAGTGCGTTAAAGAATTGGGTTTTATGGAAAGAACTTTGTTAACAAAGTTTCACAGTAATGTCGACTTGCAGAATTCGATTGCGAAAAACTTGTCGAATTTAACAAAATTGAAATTTGAGTCAGCCGATAGTCCAGTTGTTCAGTCTATTGCGGCCGGAATGGAAAACAGTCAATCAATTGAAGATTTAGATTTATCGTATAGCGATATAAAAGACGATGGTGCTGTAGCTTTGGAGAAAATGCTGTCAAGGAATAAAACGTTAAAGCGTTTATCCCTGGATTCTTGTACAGTAACACAGCAACTCGACATTAGTTTGAAAAATGCACTAAAAATGAACACAACACTTAAAAAACTGATTGTAACCGGTCTAATCGGTCTATCTTATAGTACAATACACATGAGAGAACCACTGATGACAGCAGCAGCAAACAAAACCTTGGTAATATCCACAGTCTGCTTTTGAACAAAATAAAGACAATGACAGATTTAAATTTCTTTGTAAATAATCTATTAAAGTCGACGTTTTGTCAAATAGATCGGCATTATCAAGAAAAAATAACAAGTTTAGAGTGTGGGTGTGGGTGTGTTATCAGTCGCCATAATCTAGATTTCATCCCGGCTAGAGGATTTATCGGGTGGATGTAAATCGATGTAAAACAAATTAATCTATATAACGAAGATATAAACCAATTTATTAATTCTAACTTTTACTTTATGTATGTGTGAAGGTGTGTGGGTGTGGGATGGATGCGGTTAACACTACTGTCTTAACCCCCGCTCACTCACGCCCACACCCTAGGTATTTCTTTTACGTAACAATAGGTCAAAGTTTTCCTCGATGAGTTGTTTGACGAGGATATTGGAAACGAGTCTCTCGACTATCAACGGCTGTCGCGTTTTTGGGCTTGTTCTGGCATTTTCTTATATCCATTTAATAATGGCTGCTCGTTCATATGTGTGTTCACCTTCCACTACAACTGGCTCACGGAATATTTGCTTCGTAATCGGACACTCTAAGAGAATCGTTGATGTGTACTTTACTCGAGCCATGGATGTAAACTATTTAATATTCGTCATCTTAAAGCTTTCAACAGTAAAGAGAAAAATATGAATCTAAAAACCAATGTCATATGGGAGCATATGTAAGCAAGCCAAGTACCGTCTCTGTTTAGGTATGTTAGTAGAACGAGGAAAAGAATAGAGGTCTTGGATCCTACTGGAACCAAAAATCTTTCTCCTCTTTAGCTTTTATTTCATTAGAAAAAAAACGTTACCTGAAGCATCTTTGCTTTCAATGCACAATAGTTTCAATGGCACATCAAGCCATAAAACAGAATTGCTTTTGTGAAATACAAAGAAAAGAATAAAAAGTGTCATAGGAGGAGAAGAACGACGCAACAGCAGAGGAGAAACTAAGGGAAAGACTACGACGTTGTTGTGGAACGAATAGGAGAAAAGAAATTGATTGTGGCAACCATGCGACGATGATTGTATGTGCCTTGCGGCATGATAGTGTCGTGCGTCATTCGCACACTGACAGTCGTATCTTGCACATCCTGAGTGTGTGGGTGTGGGTGTGGGTGAGAGCGGAGCTATTAGTCATGGTAGTCCCAAGTATCCCTGTCAGTCTCTACTAGATTCTAGTAATCCCTAGTAGGCCATGCAAACCTTTTCTAAATATTTATAATAATTACATAAGTATATATGTAATATATTCATATAATGTATAAAAGCTTTGGGATACTATGTAATTCATTTTCGGCATGAACTCAGTTTCATAATATATTATGCTAGTCTAATAAATAGACAAAAAACTAGAATTTGAGATACATCGTTCATCTAAGAAAATATCGGTTTTCTTACGGACTCTTTCTTTAAAATGAAACAGTAATATAAACTTTATTTGTTTGAATATTTTTCACGTTTTTTCTTTTTTTTAAATTCTTCATTCTGCGCTTATTTCACTTGAAGTTAAAGAACATGAAAACAAATGCGATGAGAGCTTACAGTTCTGCTGCCAAGAAAGACTCTTTAGACATTATCTTTCTGTTTTTCTTTTTCTTTATAAGAATGTGCACGCTTTTAATGCATTTTTATGAAGTTTAGAAAACAAGTTTATCATTGCACGTCTTTTTGATTTAATATATGGAACTTACATATCACTCATTTATTATGTTTCATCTACTTGTAGTTGGAGAGGGAGGTGCCCATCTTGAGGATGGATGTGAATGAAGATGCGAGACACTCTCGCGCCACACCCTCAAGATATATGGACAAAGAATGTCATCATTGATAGTAAAAATGATATTAAATATGCAATAAGAAATAACCAGGATTTATTTGGTGATTTCATACATCCACTTGAAAATGAAAGGATTAATCGTATCAATGCTATTACTATGAATACACATGATGCTATTAGATGAGATTTATGTTGTTTTAATTGTAATCGTAGATGATCTATGAATGGTGTTCTTCTTTGTAGATTTGAACGAGAACGAGCAATTGAAATAATAATAAAAATTATACTTAATAAATTGATTATAAAAGGCATTAGAAAATGAACAAATGTAATAAATGAATTCCAAGTACTAATGGAAGAAGAAGGATATTGTACTAAACACCATATACGTTTTTCATCAATATCAATATCATCAATTAATTGACGATGAATTGGATCAAGAAGATGTGTTAAAATTGTGACAATCAGAATAATTACTATAATCCATTTCGATATTTGTTTACTTTTATTTTTATTGAATTTCACACCTTTACTAACAGTTATAGCTCGTTCAATACAAACACATGTATCAAGCCAATCATTAAAGGCTATAAGAACTTTAATACTAACATCTAATAATATACAATTAAAATTAACAAATGATCGATTCGTAAGAATTGTCATTTGTGATAACAATAATTGCCAAAATTTAATTAATAAAATAATTATTAAACATATTGATATCCAAGAAGATATGAAGAAATAATAACCACAACCAACATCTCTTGTTTTCTTCCTATGAAATGTTAATATCGACATAATTCCATTAATTAATCCTAAAATAAACATAAATGTTATTATACCTATACTTATTTTGATAACCATTGGTTGTTGAGAAAAAGAACGATTTGGTTTAATATGATAACTAAGAATATAATCAAGTGATAAAACAAAACCTTGCGTAGTAAACTGACATCTTAAACTATAATAACAATCCGAACATATGCACAATGCTTGAACAGGACATTTTGGATTATCTTGAAAACATTTACCATTATTTTCACAGTAATTTTGACCTTGACAATCATAAGTTATCGAATGATTAAAAATAAAACAATTTGAAAATCGATTAAGATCACATATACACATATATGTTTCATCATAAAAACACATTAATTCTTTATTTTGTCGACATAAATGAGGATAATATTTAATACGATGAAGATAAGTATAAGAATTCATTAATTCATCTATTGAAACACATCGTTGATTTGATGATAATTTCATTTGAATATAATTTAATTTTTGAAAAGTTTCTTGTTTAATAATTAAATAATAATTTTGTTTTAAAAGTTCAATAAAAAAAAGATGAAATTGTTCTTTTACACGAATTTCTATTCTATTTTCTCCATATTTAATCTTTTTTAATTCTGTTACTTGATGATGTTCAGAATGATCAAATGCTTTGATATAATGAATAAATACAATTGAAACTTGTTGAATCATACCTTCATTTAATTCAATAGAAATTCCATTTGTAATCTGATTTTCACATCTTTTTCCATAGAAATTTTCTTTACATAAACATATAAAATCAGTGACATTGATTCGATCATCAATTGGTATACATAATCCATTATTTTCACATGAATTATTTAATGATTGACAAACTGGACGTGTTAAATGACAATTTCGACCAAATCTCTTCATTGAACATAAACAAATAGATGAAGTAAGACAAAATGAATCTGATGAGCAAGAACAAGAATGTTGAATATTACATTGTCGACCAGAATAACCTTGGTCACATTGACAAAAATATGAAGAATTCTCATTAATATATTTCATACATTGACCATGTTGTCCATAAGATAATTTGCATGAAGATTCAAATTGTTGTTGTGTAGTAGGCGGAATAAATAATTGTGTAGCAATTCGATTCACAGGTAAAAATTGAAAAGGAATTAATAGATGCCAACTTGCCCAATATGTTAATGAATCTTTATTAAAAATATCAATACGTATGGAATAATTATTTGAAAGATTTTTGGGTCGATGAGGATAAAGTAAATAAATATTAAATTTCTTTTGACAATCACGTTTTGGTACGTATGTAATTTGTTCGTGATAAGGATAAATTATTTCTTGATCATCGATAAGCATGATTACTAATTGAAAAGAATTTATAACATCTGCAATTGCACGATAAATTAGTTGTAATGTTAAACTAATCCGTTGACTTTGTAAATGACATCGATCACCAAAATAAGATGGAGGACAAAAACATTTTTTTGTTTGATTATTTTTGAACAAAAGAGGAATTCCTCGATTACAATACCAATCTCTTGTTCGACTTTTTATCGGAGTACTTATATTCAAACCTACTTGAGATGGTTGTGGAACTGAAGAATTAATAGAAATTGATGGAAAATAACTTAACCCAAATGTTTGGAGAAATTGTTTCGGTTTTCTTTTACAGTAATCTGGGTGTGTGAAAGAACACCTCTGAGATAAATAATCGCGCCGATAAGTGTCAAATGTAAACGGCCAACGTATTTTTGTTTGTATAAAACAATTATCATCATGAATTATTGATGAGTTTGATGGAGAATAAATTAGATGTTCTGACGTAATACATTTCGTTTCATTGCAAAAGAAATACTCGTTTAAATTAGCATCGGTTTTATTAGTAAGATAGATCAGACGAGTTGGTCCTGTTACAGATTGCAAAAGTTTCTCCACTATATCGAGATACGACACACAAATAGGTTTCGCAGGAGGAGTATCCGTACAGAAGTGCTCGTTCAATGAACATTTTGCATCAGGACAATTCAGTTCATCAGCACCATTGAAACAATGCCAAACGTTATCACATCGAGAGTATGGATTATTACATGGCCACCATTCACAATTAGTTTCGTCTGTATTATTGAATGCATCCATTGAAAATAAATCCCATTCTCCATCGCAAAATATTGCAAAGGGCATAGGATTCTTTTGAATATCTCGTCGATTTTCAGGCCATTCATCATCTCCATGTTCACAATCTTTTATTCCGTTTTCAATAGCAACTAATGATAAACATTTTTCTGGATTAGATGCACATATAAAACGTTTTGAATCATTTAATTGACAAGTAGGAAATAATTCATCTTCTTGGTAATAACAATCATTATAACCATCAACTAATCGATGTTTTGAAATACATTTTAATGAACGTGAACAATGAAATAACGATGAATGTGAACATACTTGATCCGTACCAATTGTTAAACAACGTTGACTAAGATCAAACAAAAAATCATCTAACTGAAACCATTGGATTAATGTTCTATTTATTAGATTATTCGTTTTACAACATGTGAGTCCGTTATGCATACCAATATTTATTGAACAATATACTAATCCAGGACAACGACTTGCATTAAAACACATAAAATCAGGCACGATAGTACGATCAAATTCAGCGACTGATCGATTTGTTAAATAAACAAATTGAAAGAAGCCATATATAAATGGAGATTCGGGCAATACAAGCCATTCCGATTGACAATGATTACCAAGAAATTCACAACGAAATTTGCTTGCGTTATCATTTGTAAATTCAGGAATAATAGAGAATTTAAGTGAACAGTAGAATGCTTGTCTACAGCGTACGTCTGAAATGTGATGTAATGAAGTGAGAACATTAAAAAACATATAATAATATCGATTATTAGCGCAAAGGCCAGTAGTGCTTGCCGTAGTTTCTGTCGAAAGGGAGGCACTAATAAACATAGGACATGGAAATAACACAAGTGAACGCCGATCACGGAGTTCTTCACATTGAAATGTTGATACACGTGTACATAGATAGTCAGTTTCGTATCTGGAGTACTTTACTCGATAGACTTCGTCTGAACCATCAAGACAATCAGTACTTGCATTTCCATCACGAACAAATGCGGACGAAATACACTGGCTACCAAAGTGACAACGAAATTCATCTTCAAAACATTCATTTACTTCTAATATGTCGCATAATTGCTCATCTTCTCCATTGAGACAATCAAAATATCCGTCACAAATTTCATGCCAATCAAGACACATCGGTGATGGACCACGGTAACAGTCAGGTAAAAATGGATAACATGTATTCGAATAGACGTATACATCAGGTATACTACTAATATCATTATGGAATTGAAGAATTTTATTAAATGAAGGTAATACAACAGCAGACTCATATCTGTACTGGCATGTTGAACCAAACCATGGTAACGAACAATTGTAAAATATTTCAGTCGAATTTTGACCAATTTTTTCATATCGTTCGATCATGTCAACTGGTACTGACCATTTAAGTAATTCCATACTTGTTATACCTTGTCGATACAATTCAGCAAACGTCATATTATTTAAAATATTCTCATACGGTATGGTAGAAAAATTTTCTTCCTCTTCAGTTCCATCAAGTCGTCGACAATAAGGAATTAAACTGTAATCATCAGTAGATAAGTGTTGTATCTGCTAATGGATCTCCTGAATAACCATATAAACAATCAAATGTTGCATTAAATCCATATCGATCATCAGAATAGTATACAGAATATTGACCATCAACAATTATAATAAAAGATGTGAGCAACACTAGTAGTGTTAGAAACTTCATTCTTAGCTGAACGACGCAGAATAAATGTGAAGACAAATAGCATGAAAGAAAGCAACGCCTTACCATATGTTAAAAAATTTATTCAAGTCAATAAAAGAAAATTTCATTTTTCTAAGTTGCTTTGTTTGAATAAACTTTTTCGTCAATTGTCAAATAAATAAACTAATAGAAAAACTAACATAATTGAAGTTTATCCATTTTATTAATTTATATATCAGATGAACAGAAAATCATGGAATATTTTTTTTTCTTTTTATTGCTGACGTCATTAACAGAACTTTATTATGTGCTGTTTATCGAATATGTTCATGTAATTCTTTGTGTGTGGCAAAGTCATGAAGTAAAAAAAAATTCGATAATTATTTTTCTTTCTCTATTTGTCGACAAAAATCTATATATAAGAGCAACTTCCTTGCCGTTAATGGAGAGAATAAGTAATAGATTATTGTTTTTTTTGTGAAAGAATAGAAGAGGAACAAGAAGAGAGTAAGGAATTGAACACACTAAGCCTTTGCAATTAACTTTATCTTTTTCAAGCCATGTATAATGCGTGAGAAAGATATAATCAACAATAATAATAAATATTATTTTGCTAGACAAAAAATATAACATATGTAATAAATATATTGATGAAAGATTTTCTAATCAACATACAGAAGAAAAAGTGTAGGTGTGAGGGTGTGGGTGTGGGTGTGACTTACAATGAATGCAGAGCGTACCAATACCCATACCCACACCCTTTCGATATCAAGAGTATCATCTATTCTCCTTTCTTTATAAAGAAAAAACATTCAATCATATTTGTTTTTCTCTTTTGATCATTTAACACATCGATAAATATTTTATTTTATTTTAAAAAGAAAGTTTGTTGTATATTTATATTTAATTACATTTTCTAGAAAATTGAATGACGAAGAGATAATTTTCGATAGAAATATTGTAAATTCAGTTATATTAAATAAAGAAATGAAATGATTTTTCATGGTAATTGTATCATTATATGTTTCTATAATAGGATTTATTTTATCATTTTTATCTTGAATAGAATTCATTAACCATTCGAAACCTTCGTCAAGACCTTGATTTTCAATAGCAGATGTTGCTTGCAAATACCATTTAATATTTTTATTGAGTTTATCTAAATGAAGTTTATTTTGAAGTTGATCATTATTCATTGCATTAGGTAAATCTTGTTTACTGGCAAATATAAGAATAGGTTTTTCTTCAAAACTATCATTATCAATTATTTCATGAAGCTTTTTACGTGCTTCATCAACTCCTTCATGATCATTTGAATCAACAACAAAAATAAATCCTAGCATTCTTCTATAATATTGTGTCAATAAAGGACGATATCCTGAACGTCCACCGATACTCCAAATCATAAGAGGAGTTTCATTAACAGTTCATTTTTCGAAATCGACACCGATTGTTGGAAATCCGTCAGGAATTTTACCATGTTTTATCATGTGAACAATTGTTCTTTTACCTTAATAAAAAAAAGTTTATGTATAAATTATGAACAACAAGCTACACGCATACATACCTGATCCAGAAGATCCAGTTATAAGTACTGATGGTGGTTTATTTACCACGTTTTTAGTTGATGAATTCATTTTTTTCGATAAGTATCGTTGCTACAAATTTTGTAATATTTGATAATAACACATGAATAAGAAAAATGCGATGTTTTCTTTCTTTTGCATACGTGGCAAGAATTGCGCAATCATAACGTAATAATATTATTTTTGGTAACAAAGGAGAAAAAGCGAAATTTCTCTTTTTCCATACTTTCATCGTACTTCACAGTATGAAAGTCTGGATTTTAGGGTGTGGGTGCTCGTACTGTCATCATCTCATACACACCCTTATTTTTGAGTTTGTTGATATCTATTATATCAATACTTTATAATCATCATTTTATCTTCCATATTTATTTTGATAAAATTTGTCCTAAACTATATTTTTCATTTGCTATATAATGAGTTTGTTTTCTATTTAAATAATTAAAACCTTTTGATTAAAATAATTTATCGCCTTCGGCAGTTGTAAGTGAAACTTGTGTATGAGCATTTTGAAAGGGGAAAGAGCATTTCCTTGTTTCTCGGATTCTCATGGCTCCTGGGACTTCTTAACGATTCCCCCGTGTTCATAAAGAATCTTAAAAAATCCCCTAGAACTGTCAGGAGTCCTTAGGTGTGGATAAGAATAAATGTGATATTAAAAATGAATGGAATTATTCTTTTATTATGAGTAAAAGGGTAATTTTTAAAAGTAACTTAGAGTATATTTGTCCATTTAAATGTGGCATTTTCATTTTTTAATTCAAGATTATGTTCTATAAAAAAATAATCTTATTATATTGATAAATTTTAATTGGTTGATAAGAATTATGACAAGGATTTTCATGCTGAATTATCAGACATGAGAGAAATAAGTTTAAAAGATGTAAATAAATGCGTCCAATCAACTACTTTTATGAAAGACTTTTTCTTTTTGAAATATGATGTTGAATAAAGTCAAGAAAATAATTCTTAACTATCATATAAAACGATAAGAAGAGAACAACAATGTGATACCATTATACACAGACATTTTCATTACTTCGTAAAACGATCAAATATCATAAAAACAAAGTTTTTTGTTTTAAATACTGTATCTCCTGAATACATTATAATACATTTAAAATTCTGTTTGTGTGTTTGTTATAGAAATGGGTATAACTGCAACATCGATTTGGTTTTGGTCGTTACCTGTGTTACCATTTACAGTAATTATTACTTTGATAATTTCTTTGTTCACAGATCGTTTGATTGACAATCATTCAATGTCAAAAAAATCATTTTTTGAACTCTTGGTTGAACATATATGTTCAAGTCATATGTATTTCTTTGTCACAATTTTTCTGTTACTTCAAGTATTGGCAATAATCATTGGTCGATTTCAATTTCTATTAAAAACTCAATTGATAATTAATCGAAGTGTTCTGTACATCATTCATCTTTCTATTCTGATACCTTTTCTGTTTCAGCTTATACGTATGATGCGAAATAGTTATAGTTATGACAGATATCAAATATGTAACTATGGAATATTTGACTCTATTTTATTATATTGTCTACTTCATACTATTATAATATTCTATCTCTATATACGTCGATCGTATGCGCCACAATATGCGAAAATTATTTGGCCAATTTGGTTTCTTATTTGTTGTATTTTATTTATTGTCTGTTATATCATTTGGATTCGATCGCACAATTATGTCGCAGTTTGTATTGTAATTCTGTGTCCTTATCTATATTTTTTGGGTTTTGTACAACAATTTTGGATACAAGCAAAGGCCAGACAACAATATTTTGCTGTAATCACAGCATAATCAATAATCTTTAAAAAATAACTACAGACGAATAAACTTTTTTTATATATTTAAACAAAATAAATTTTAAGCTAAAATAAACATTCAATAATATATATCTTAAAGGCCAGAGTTTCAGTGTGGGTGTGGATGAATGAGGACATAGGTGTCGAAGAAGAAGAAAAATACACACCCACACCCTCAAGATACTTTTCTTCTTGGTTTCAACTTTTTTTTATAAAGAAACTTGAAATGTCGAATTTGGGTGGAAATATCATTACGTATGAAATACGTTCCAGAACATTGAAATGACTTCATCAAGAATAAAATTTTTTTGATAAATCTGAATATTCCAAACAGAAGAGATTTTTTTAATCAAAGAAATCAATAAGAAATTCATATTTAATCACATTTTATCCATGATTTATACTAACGCTTAATAGTAACAAAAACTAAATTTACGTTTGGGAATAGTTTCATTCACTTTAAAGATGCTTCATTCGAAAAATCGAGCTACATTTTTTTCTTTGGATTAATTTATAATTATTATAAATTCATTGTGCTGTTTTATATGAAAACTTGTAATAACATCGATTGGGGTGGGTGTGGGTGTAGGTATGGGTGAGTATTATTTTTATGTCATATCCACAGTCACATCCATCCTCAAAGAAAATGCAGAAACAGAAAAAAATAGATGACAGCATATACTACACGGTTTTTCTATATCATGATAGAATTTTTGACATTTTTTTATACGTCGGCATTTTACCTGTCGACATTTTATCTATCGACATTATTTTCGATATTTTGTTTTCGGCGTTTGACCACTAAATCCCTGCGTCTATGATGAAATTTTCAGACAAATCGGTTTCATAAAATTTCTTTCTTGAAAAAGTGACCTCCTATGATTCTCATGAGTCTTGGAAACAGAAGTTTTTGTGTCAACATAATCTCTCGATTTTAAAGGTAGGTCTATATCCTTTGAAATTAGCTTAAAAGTTTCTGTTCAGTTATTCGAGCAGATTTTTCTTCATACAGCCGTACTCTATCATGTCGCTAATAAGAAACAGATGAACTGTTGAGGGTGAGGGCGTACGGGTGTATCTTCTTTAGTCACACCCACACCCACCCTTTGGCGAAAGATAATTTGCTTGTTTTCTATATGTGAGAATATTCAACCGTATATGACCCTACTAACAAAATAATGATGTCGCATTATAAACAGCTCTTATTGATGCTACGATGAGTCGGTTCACACGCGACATCTTACGAATAGTATTAGTCGTTAAAACAATCAATTCAAATTCAGATTGTATCTGTTATATTACAGGTATAATAGTAAAGACAATTTCTGAAATTTTTTTCGTTATTATCCTAATCAATTACGGAGGTCTCCCATAGATTCTGTTAAACGAATCAATAGCTAGTAACTATAGAAAAAAAAGGCGTAAAAACATAATGAAACTCTTATTCTCGCTTTTGCTCGCACTCAGGTTAGTTTCTTCTCACATTGTCTGAGAGTAAGAATTTTTTTTCTGCGTTAATTGCATCATTCAAATAAAGAAGTTCTGAGAAAGACTAACGTTGTCACAAGATTCGATATGTCGTGCACTTGTTTATGAATTAGGGTTGGGTCTTTTGCTTTACTTTAATATTTAATACTGCAACAAATTTTTTTTATTTAATCATTTAATTTAATTAAGTTAAAATAATTAAATGAATGGTGTCGAATATTTAAGGGTGTGGGCGCAGATTAAGGGAAAAGACTTCATTTTGAAAGAAAAAGAAGTGAGAATAATATAAGATGACTTTTTATTTTTAGCGATTGTGAATAATATAATATTCGAATGACAAACGCATCTCTACTAACATTACCTACTGAACTGGTGTATTGCATTTTAAACAATCTTGATACATGCTTCATTATTTTTTCGTTTCGTCTTGTGTGCAAACGGTTCCAAGCGATTAGTAAAGTCTATGATCAATATGAATTAGATCTTGATTTTATGTCAGAAATTTGTCTGAAAAGAATTGCTCGTATTATACAACCAGAAAACATTACTTCACTAACAGCTCATAAAAGACCGAATAAATCAATCCGAATTAAACAATTTTTTTCAATCTTCGAAATCAGCCGATTGACTCGACTTCGATCGATTACATTGGGTAACTTGGACAATTGGCAAGATAGAAACCTTTTGAATCATCGAGCCATTTCTAACTTGGTCTCATGTGATACTTACACAATTGAAATATATAAACGAGATGCATTAGATTTTATTTCGAAGGCTGTGACTCAACCAACTGATAATCAATTGAACTCAATAGAATCACAATTAGATCACAGTATAGTACATCTGACAATGAAATCAAGTTCTCTTCAAGAATATCATCTTATTCTACAACGGTTTCCTCACTTACGATCGATCGTAACAGGAGAATTCATCGTGAAGGAATTGTACGGGTCAGTCACATCCTATTCTGCTACTATACGATATCCACAGTTGATGTCATTAGTAATCGGTTATAGTTCATTATCAATGATCGATTTTGAAGAAATTCTTTCATTAACACCATCGCTGGTTACACTGAAATTAATCTCATATAGAAAGAATTTGGATTCACTTTTGGATGGTTCTGTTTGGACACACCTGATTCAAACTAAATTGTCCGATCTGAAAATATTTCAAATTTTCTTTTCTTATACTTTAGAACGAGGAAATGATGCGAAGGATCTTGATTTAATCGTTGATAAATTTCGAACTCCGTTCTGGCTGCACAAAAACAAATGGATTATCACATGTGATTATTTTTTCCAGGAAAAAGTTATTCATTTCTATACAACACCGATGTGCACTATAGACTTCAAACAACAATTAAAATCAACTAAGATGCCTCAGCTTTATTCTCGGGCAGTGAGATTTAACTCATCGTCGGTGGATAGTGATTTTCAGCCAGTCGTTCATATAATGTATGCTACTGACAAGGTTACAGAATCAAAGGTACGTAGGAGAATTCTGTCGAGTAAACGATCGCTGGCTGTTGTTAGCATATGTTTCCTAGCTCGTTTTATTTAACTAATAATAGAAAGAAGAAAGCGTAGTATTCAAGAGTCGTTGGAGGCAATATGTAAACATTCTATACAGAAAACAATCGCTACATTCCATTTCTATCTTCTGAATATTTTTGAAATAGGTATTGATCAAATGGAATCTGAAGCGTTCGAATACAAACGTACACGACATAAGATATTTGGCCTATGCATTGCGAAACAATACGGTAGCTATCAAATCTTCTCATTATATACAGAAAAACTAACTCATTATTACCATATAGACAACCAAGTATATTCATTTGGGAAGTAATGCTGTAGGAGAGGAAGGTGCCCGATCCATTGGCGAAGGGTTAAGAAAAAATATGGTAAGATAGATATTTTCATGTGTTTTATCTTCTGTTTACATTTTTTCAAAAAAAAAGACGCTGACATCACTAAATCTAGGACACAATCAGATTGGAACTAAGGGAGCACAGTATTTAAGCGATGGATTAAAAGATAATACGGTAATTCGAAAAATTCTCTTTTCACATATAGACAATCCCTTTTTATTAATTATTACACAGGCAATTCAACGTATTTATCTAGAAGATAATAAAATTGGAGAAGATGGTACACTATATATAGCTGAATGGATAAAATCTAATAAGGTAATTAGTTTTTCATTGTGTTTTTTGAGCTTGTTCGATTTACTTTGACTTACATGCCATTCGAAGGTACTTACTGCAATTAGTTTGGGAAACAATCAAATTGGAAGTCGCGGAGCAAAATATCTCAGCGATGCGTTACAAGATAATATGGTTGCTATGAATTATTTCTATCATATCTAAAAAATCAATCGATCTTTATTATATAGGTAATCTGTCATATTTTTCTAGAAGATAATGGAATTGGTGATGAAGGTGCTCAATTTTTAGCTGAAGCCTTGAGAAATAAAACGGTAATTTTCTATTATAATATGAAGTACTTAATTACTTTGTTTTGTTAACAAGACACTTGTTTCGCTTCAACTCGCAAACAATCAAATCGGAGCTAAGGGAGCACAATATTTGAGCAATATATTACAAAACAACGTGGTAACTTTTAATCATTTTTATCATACACCTAGAATGAACGGAGGAATTATCACATAGACAATGGATTATATTGATCTAGAAAACAATGATATTCGTGAGGAAGGAATACAATACTTGGCTGAAGCTTTAGGCAGAAATACAGTAATTATTCTGCTTCCATCTACTTCATTGTCTATTTTTTTTCGAAAAACAGACACTTGTTTCACTGACTCTAGGTGGAAATCAGATTGGAATTCAAGGGGCACAATATCTGGCCCATTCACTCCAAAATAAAAAGGTAGTTTATCCATCGATGTTGTGATGAAGATCTGTTTTGATTACAATTTATGGGTGTTCTACATCTAACAGGCAGACTTCATCTTGTCTATCTCTGTTTGTAATACTTCCTAGTAAAATGTTTTTCGTAACATTAAACCAACGAGAAGAACATAGAAATATTTGTTGTAGTGTTGAGAAACAGAAGAATGATTTATAATTATTATTTTTATGTTTCTCTTTTTACTACGTTTGTAAGTAGCGACTAACCAAGCTGGATCTCAGAGACAATAATATTGGTGATCAAGGAGCTTTATGTATCGCTAATGCTTTACAAGATAACATGGTAACTTCGCATTCTGACTAGTTTTTCTCAAAATTTTGATTATTGTTCTTCACAGACATTAACGACAATGAATCTTAGTTTCAATGGAATTAGTGCTGCAACAGCAGATCAACTCTATGTATTATTTCAGAATAAATTTGTAACTTTAACACTGTATATTTGTTTGATGTATCTAAACTTTTCTTATATAGGAACTTGTCCTTTTCGACCTAAAAGGTAATGACGGATGCGATGATGTTGCTATTGCTGCAAGTTTTCAAATCCGAAACAACAAGGTGACTTTCATTTATTCTATATCATTTGCAAATCTATACTCATATTTTGGGTATAGAAAATCGTGGAATTAGATCTCTGCTCGAATAATATCGGAGATCAAGGAGCCAAATATATCGCCCATGCATTGCAAAATAACACTGTTAGTTATATTTGTCCTTCATTTGCATTTGATTTTCATTCTTCATATAGACACTTAAAAAACTGGATCTACGATCAAACGATATTGGAGAAAATGGAGCAGAATATCTATATAACGCATTGCGAGATAACACGGTGATTTTTTTTGGACATCATTACTTTTATTTGATTCATACTTTTTCACATAGATTTTGGTGGAGTTCTATCTTAGTAACAATAAAAGTACGCAATGTAATGTCGTGGAAACAATTAGTTGTATTGAAGAAAAGAAGGTTATTTAACATTCTATTTCATTCTTCATATATCCTTATAGTTATGATGTCAAACAGATTCAAAAGCAGCTAATGCTTTCAGATAAAAGACTTGGGAGTTTCGGAGTGCGATATTTATTCGACGCATTACGAAATAATACAGTAAGTCTCAGTCATGATCATCGATAGGTTTTATTTAGAGTATTTTATGCCTATCTTTTCTTATAGATCATCGAAGAAATTTCCTTATCATGGAATGAAATAGGAGACAAAGCGATGCAATATCTCACTGATTGGTTAAGAAATAATACAGCAAGTATCAGCCGATATTTTAACATTAACTCATCTTTTCATTGAATAGTCACTACATCGACTAAATCTTCAGTACAATCATATTACTGATATAGGAGCAGCATATTTAGCTGATGTATTAAAGGAGAACACGGTAAAAATCCTTGATGATTTCTACTTTTTGATATTATTATTGTTGGCAGACTCTTACTGCACTAGACCTGAGCTCGAATAGAATTGGAGACAAGGGGATGGAAATCCTTGCTGATGCAATGGAAAAAAATACAGTGAGCTCGGCTCTCTCTTTTATCTATTTTTCACCTACAATCATTTTTTTAAAGACACTTAAGCAGCTCGTGTTATACCCTAATCCAAGTATTTTATGTGAGGCATTGCAAAAGACTGTTATCATTCGACATGACAAAGTATGAATACTTTTCTACTTATTCTTCTAAATGTATTTCTTACCACAGAATATGAAGACATTAAATATACGAAGAAATGATATGGGATACAGAGGAGCAAAATATATTAATTTTCATTTACGAAATAATACGGTAAATCTAACTGGTTATAGTTGTTTCCTTCAGCATTGATATGATCTAGACTATAACTGAATTAGATCTCAGTGCTTGTAGTATCGGAGAACAAGGGACAAAGTATCTTGCTGATGCCCTGAACAATAACAAGGTCAGTATTCATTATTTATTTTCATGAATCTCATTTGCGGCACTCTTCAAAACTAGATTTTAATCAAACTCACACTCACAAGTAATCAAATCGGAAGCAAAGGAGCGCAATATCTAGCTCAAGTGTTACAACATCATCCGGTACTTATTAATTATTAATATTTTTCCATCAGTTCTTTTCATTTGAATCACAGACTCTAACAATTCTTTATCTGGGACACAACCAACTTAAAGATGAAGGAGTTCAATGCATTGCTAATATTTTAGAAACTGCCATAGTAAATAACAATACGTATTTTGCCTTAAAATGTCACTTTCATTCATTGCAGATACTGAAGGAATTAAGTCTATATAGCAACGATATCGGGGAACAAGGAGCAAAGTATCTTGCTGATGCCCTAAATAACAACAAGGTCAGTATTCATTATCTGGTTTAATGAATCTCATTCTGACATTCTTTAAACTTAGACATTAACGATACTTACACTCCACAATAATCATATCGGAAGTAAAGGAGCGGAATATCTAGCTCAAGTGTTACAACATCATCCGGTACTTATCAATTACTGACTCTATATCATTTTTTTCTTACTTCTTTCATACAGACCGTCACTTTTCTCGAACTTCAAAATAATCAAATCGAAAATAAAGGAGTCCACTATTTGGCTTATGCCTTAGAAACCAATCAAGTAAATAGGAATGCTCGACCTTTCTTCGTTTTTGATTTTGTCTCTTATAGGTACTTACCAGTCTACGACTCGTCGGGAATCATATTGGAGATCAAGGAGCCCAGTATTTAGCTCATGCTTTAGAAACGAATAGAGTAACTATCGATGATTATATGTCGCTTGTTTTACTTTGATGTTTTATAGACACTGACCGAATTAGCTCTTCAGATGAATCAGGTTGGAGATCAAGGAGTAAAGCATTTTGCTAATATGCTCGAAAATAATATGGTTAGATCTTCATTCGCCTCTTCTTTTTAAGAGCTATCATTGAATTTTTAATGTAGAATCTCAAATATCTTGAGTTGAGTAATAATAACATTTCTGATTGGAAAGCTATTGCAGCTATCATTGGCACTCGAGCGAAGCAGGTAAGCTGTGAATATTGAACACCATTTTTAATTGTTAGAAACGTTTTTTCTAGAACGATGCCTTTAACTTCGATAACTATGGAATTGGAGATAACATAATCGAGCTTATGACGTCTATTTTCCGAAACGCATATGTAATTGTTGATAGATCACTTGCCTAATATATATTTCTCTTGGTTTTCTTCAGGAATTCAAATGTATTAGTCTTTGTTCAAATAAAATAGGTGATAGAGGTGCACAATTGTTAGCTTCGTTAGTAAAAAATTCTACGGTAATTAATCTGGTTGTTTGATATATCTTCTTGTATTATACTCGAGTCTGATAATAGACAATCGTCGAACTGAATCTACAATCGAATCATATTGGAGATGAAGGAGCTTACCATCTTGCTGATGCGTTAAAATTTAATAATGTGACATAAAGCATAAAGAAATTTGACTAGATTTGTTTGATAATTTCTTGTAGACACTATCTACGCTCAAACTTCATGGAAATCAAATTACTGCTATAGGCGCAAAGCATTTCGCAGATGTTCGGAGAAACAGAACGGTTAGTCATTTTTTATTTTATTGATTTTGTTATAATATTTTGAAATTTCATTTAGACACCAATACAGCTAGATCTCGACGATCAGAAGATCGAAAAAAGTATAGAAAATAGGAAAAGTAATAAGGAAGAACGTGTAGTGAAGAGTATTATATTCAAAATTCAAAATATGATCAGCTCTATTGCCTTTCTGTTATTATCCTCTCATTAGAAGGAAATATTTGTTTGAATTTCGACCATTATCCTCTAAAAACCATCTGTTCTTTTGAATGACTTTTCTTGTTTACGATTTAGAACTTTGAATCATGTTGCATAGTATCGAGGGTTGTATTTACTTCCTGGGTAACCTATCAATCGTAAACGATTATGTGTGAAAACAAAGCTAACCTTTACTTACTATTTTTCAAAAGAAATAGATTGAAACACAAACGCATTAGTGCAATTCCACTTGCGCCATTGATATAGTTTTTTCTAAAATTTATTAAAAAATTTAATCATTTTTTTTGCTGATTATTATGTTCTTTATAGATGCAGTGGACCTATGATGTCCTGATAGACATCGTCTCCTTTTGTGTGATGAAAGTCAGCGCATAAAGATGTGGAACTATCAAGGTGTACCAGGTCCGTTTATATGTAATATATGCGGGAAAATGTCCAGGGATTACTCATGGCATTGGTCCTGTTATACAAATGGATTTGATATCTGCGAAGAATGCGCGAATAAACACCACTAGAAAGCTTCACCGTTCGAACATACCATCTTGAGGGTGTCGGTGTTGGTGTGAATGTAAGATTAATACTATACCCACACCCACATTCTCAAGTCCATATAAAAAGTCGTAATCTGACAGTTTATTTTTTATCAAAAAACTCCTAAATATAGCTTTTTAATCTATTGAAAAACCGTTTTGTTTCAACCACTCTTTTGCACATGCTTTAACATGTTTTTCCACATTGTACATTGGGTCAATTATATGTTCCAGCGGGATTTTTCGTCAAACAATCAATGATTTTGAATTTGAGTGTGGATTTTTTTATCACAGCTACATCTATGAGTACGAAGACCATGCTCATTTTTACAGGTTTGACCACATACGTTACAATTTACAGCATTTTGCAATATTTTAACAGTCGAATCACTTGAACGTTTTTTAGTAAACTCTAATGCATTTCGATAGAGTCTACCTACGATTGATAGTGATTGATAGGAATTTTTTCCCATTAGTTTGATCTATTGAGTATCCAGTTTTACCAGAATCAACTATAAATAATAAACAGGTCGAAAAACGTAAGCCCCTCACTAGCATTTTGAGGGTGTGAGTGTGGGTGTGGGTAGATAAGAAGAATAACCACTTCTACACCCTCAAATTGCATTAGATTTAAACAACTTTTTGAAAAATAGTAATATCCTTTCGTTTTATTTCGTTTATTTAAACAAAATTGTCAATCAATTGAATACTTCGGTTGAATAGAAGCACACAATTATAAGGAAAAATTGTTTATGGTTTTCTTAATCAAAAAATTTGAATTTTCTCAAAAATCTTTTAAAAATAAGATCCATCCACCTGACTGTTTCATTTGAAAGTTTTTCTTAATTTCTACCATATCGGAATGCTCAAGAATGTTGGTTAAATCATTTGTCATAATATCCTTGCATTCGTAAAGTTCTGGAAGACTAGGGATTATTAATCTTTCTAAGCTCTTGAACTTCTTTAGTATTTTTTTAACAATATCTGCATACGATTGAGATCTTTCAAAAGGGTCATAGAATGCTTCAAAATATATATGTTCAACATTTGAAAAATAAACATAACTTATTTCTGTTAATTGTTCAAGTAGAGAATCTGTTGAGTCAATATCTAATCGTCGAATTCATTTATTAAGTAGATCAGCTGATTGACTATCTGGAGAAAGTAAATCAACAGTTGATAAAATCAAATGATTTAAATTAGGTAATGCTTAAATTAACCATTCGTTTCTATTTTCAACAGACCCATGATCAAATTGAATAGTCGTTATATTATCTAATGTTACATGACTTTTCACTTCTTTATTTGAATCTACGTACAAATCTTCAGTTAACTCTTTTTCATCCTTATTATTCTCGAGGATTGGACACCGTTTCATAAAAATTAACTTCGGCATTTTCATTTTGAGTTCTTTCAGAAAGTTAATACCATATGCCGATCTATAATCCAAATCAATATATTTAACAGTACATCATATTCGAGGATTAGTTCGTAGAATTCATGAAGATACTCGAAGTGAAATGGTAATGTATAGAAATATGTTCCATGCATTCCAAATGTCCACTTATGATCAAACTAATATTGATCTTAAAATTGAGATAAAACGTTGCGAGAATTATCATACGAATTTAATGTAGCATAAAGATGAAATTGTTCCAATTCGATCATTGATTCTAATAATTGTTGAAGTTTTACATCATTAAATGGAATTTCATTTCCTCTTATATCAGTGCAATCAATTAAATTGAATGATAAACAAATTAATGATGATGAAAACTGTTTTATTCCATTGTTTAATTCATTCAAATCGTTTCGATAACTATATGGTTGTCCTAGGGTTAAATAAAATTGTTTTAATTTAATATTACTTTTCTCGATTGGTGTTATACAAGTATGACTTAATTGTGTACGAATATTTAAATATTCTAAGTTTGGTGTGTATGAAATTAACGAAAATATATCTTGAAATTCATTCAAAATCAGTTTAGATTAATTTCATAACTCGTTAAATCATTATTTGTAATGCACTTTTCTTATTGAAAACTTTTTTTAATACATTACCTTGATTGATTAAACGGGAAAGAAATGATTCGGTGCAATAAATTAGATTTTCTTTTATTTTGAACGAATGTAATTGTGTAAAGGCTTTACTTTTGAAGATTAACTTCATTTGATCATTTGATAAATCATAAGGTGTGGAAATAATTATTGATTTGAAAAATATTCTAATGGAAAAGGTAAATCAATTGAAGTGATATTTAATGATTCTATTCGAGATCCAATAACTGAAAGAATATTTTTCCACGTACCGAAATTCGTTGTTGGTAATTGTAAATGATTTATATAATGTTGATGTTGTAATAATAGATTGTTAAGTCGTTGACTGAAAGAGAAAAATGTATAAATAATATCGTTACTCAATAAATAATCAAATCTCGTAATAATTTCAGTAGGTAATCGATCAAACCATGTTTTAGTCCCCACGTTAAAAATAATCTGTTGAGAAAGTGTTTTATTGACATAATGGTGATGAAATTGTTATGTTGTCTTATCTAAAAACGAATAACACGTGGAAAGTCTTGTTAAAAGGAAAGAAATCTTGGAAGTGTGGGTGTGAGTACGGAATGGATATAACACAAACACTGGCACTCTCAACATTTTGACTGAGTTAATACAAATCGAGGGTCTTATTGAATCAGCTGCAGTTCATGCTGAAAATCTCTTTGTTTTAAATTTTCGGTATCTGTCAAGAATGTCCTTTTGTTTTTCGTTCTTCTACATAAATATATATGTAAGGACGAAAAACAAAAGGACATTTCCTAAAGGACATTCTTGACATGAATCTTGTTTGAATAAGTTAATAGTAAGATTTTCCATTCAACAAAAAACAGCAGTTAATAATTGAATTTTTTCTAATGAGATTTCTTTCCTAATTGTTAATTTTGTTATAATATTTGTTTTAGATACTAATTGAGTTAATGGATTTTGTTAGATTAAATTCGAATTATTTCGAGAAAGTATTATTGAATCAGGTTTTAATGTATGAATATTTTATGTGAATTGTAAAATTTTAATTAATTGTTCAGAAGAAAAACGATGACATTTAATAGATACTTTCGTCATTTTTCTCAATAGAAAAATCTCGTTTAATCATTTTTTGAAAATTAATTGGTGATTATAATCAAAGAATTGTTTTTGAATAAATCATGCTAACTGCTGATTTTTGCAACATAACTTCTGATTACTAATTAATTAGTAAAATACTCAGGAAATTGTGAACCAAATAAAGCTCCTACGCCATCTTTTACTATAATCATATGTATTTAATAATTCTAGTAAACAAAATTACCGAATGTATTGAACTTTATTTCAGATCAAATATTTAAGAGGCTAAAATCGATTAGAAATCAATTTTCTTTACATGGGCAGCTCTATTTGTTATTATTAGATTTTTGAGAAATAAAATATTAATTAATTGGACTTGATAACTAGTGATTATTAAGAAAACAGTAAAGAATAATTTGAAAAGTGTTGAGGATATTGAAAAGAAACATAAGCTTAGTTTTAGCATCGTACCTTCGATATCTTTATATAGTTTTCATGTTGAACATATGATAGACTTTTAGCTATATAGAAAACATTACTCTGAGTATTGTTTATCTTGGAAAACAAAAATACGATAGAAAAGAACGATTCTCATCTCTGGTTGAAAAATCAATTTGAATCAAAGATATCCATCGTGTTTGAAAACTCGTCGCTGGCAGATTGTACAAAATATTAGATAATTGATCTGCGTTTCGCGACTTTGATTATGTTTGAACAGAACTTTTGATAAAGATACTTATTGCGCATAAAGAAACAAAGAACGTGATTAAAAGTGAGTCCTGACAAAGCAGATTATTTAACAGAGTCAAACAGAAAAAGACATCAAACTAGTCATGACTTATTCATTGACGTCTATCATTTATTGACGATGATAGTTGATATCTTATTTTCAGTTAAAACACGTCCGATGATTAATGCAGATTTTGATCAATTCTTTTTTCTCTTCGTCACGTTCTTCTTCACTAAAATCAAATTTTTTTTTATAAAATCAAAAAAAAACAAGATAAGGATCATCTCAAATTTAAATTCTATTTTGTGTTTTAGAATTTCGAAAAGAATATGATTCAACGAAAAATATCAAACGAAATCATGAATTTTGTTCATTAATCTAATCTATGATCAATTTTTTATCTTATTCACGACGCAACTATCTCTAGAACACTATTTTTTCTCTTTGTATGTTGTGTTGAAAGAAATGAAAGAGAGAAAAAGAGAGATATATAACTAGGGAGAAAATCTATACTGATTGTCATTTTGCTTTCATTGAAGGCAAAGAAGAAGAAGAAGATTATTTTATTAGTAAATTAATTTATCAAAAATAAAATCTTGTTGGATGATGTGGAATATTTACGTATTTCTCATTATTCTTCAGTTCATTTCCAGCAATGAAACATCAGGTAAACACTTTTATTTATCACATATTCGAGATCAGCTACTGCACAAAAATGAGATTATTCATTAGAGTTTTAGTTGAACTCTAGGGAGTGAAATAATAGATTATAGAATTCTACAGGAATTTTTGTTATATAATTATTCAAAAGTAATCGCTGTCATCTCTTATAGACTTCAACCTAACTCATTCAGGAAATGTATCTCTCTACAGTGATTCATTTTATTGTTAAACTGCGTTGAAATTAGAAAATGTTGTCATAACTATCAGTAATGAAATATAAGTTATATATGTTACATTGGAAAAATCTTTGAATCGTTCATTTCAAAAAGAAACAAATAGGTTGATTGATTGTTTCTCGATATGACATATTATTTCATAGTAAAAGCCATGGTGAATCTTTTCATTTTGTATCTAAAACTATTTTCAAAGTCTATATTATCGAACAAGAGCGCACAAAAGTTGAGTGAGAATATAGATGATGATGATAAGATTTAGTAGGCTTTTGTAAACGACGATAACGGTAGCATTGTGTGAATGCAGATCGTTGACAAAGTTGATGGTATGTAATTGAAATGATTTAATATCAATGAATTCATAATGTCTCTCGTATGAAAATGAGAATTAAATTTAAATTTCAAAGACATTTTATTTAAATATCAATCAATTTCAATAAAGTCATTTTCATTCTAAACAATTCTTTTTTTCTCCTTTGAATTCATTTTCGTTGAACAAATAAAAAAATTATTTAATTATTTTTTTGTCTTCAATGATAATTATATCTTTTCAAGGATCGAACATAATTATTTTTGTTTTATAATAAAAAAATCGATAAATAAAGTTGATCTTCTCCGATGAATTCATCCCTTTGTAAGTTCATATTTACAATTCATTCGAGAGAATAGAACAACAATCATAAAAATCTTTTCAAAATTAATCTCAATGAATTTTTCCAAGAAGAAACATAACTTAAACGATTTCATTTCGTTTACAGCTCTTCTCAAATATTCTTGCTATTTTTCTCGTTTTAGCACTTTCATTCAATCAGCCGAAGTTTCCGTCAACACCCATTTGGGATTCTAATGGAATTACCATTGCTAATCAATCGATTGTTGGTGGAAGCCCAAGCGCCATTTTTGTGAACACAAACAACACAATCTATGTCGCTAATAAACAAAATAACACAATTGTAATGTGGCAAGAAGACAGTGTCGATCCAACAAACATCATTCACGGTAATTTTACAGGGTCCAGTTCTCTCTTTGTGACATCAAATAGTGATATTTATATTGATGATGGACATGAGAATCGTCAAGTGCAGAAATGGATAGCAGAAACAAATATCTTTGTTACAGTGATGAATGTCAACTCATCATGTTGGGGTTTGTTTGTCGATATCAATGATAGTCTTTACTGTTCAATGCTTGGTCATCATCAAGTAGTGAAAAGATCATTAAATGATCCTCTGATGACTTCAAATCGTGTTGCTGCTGGAACAAGTACCCAAGGATCGGCCTCGAATCAGCTGAATGATCCTCGTGGAATCTTTGTCGATGTGAACTTGGATTTATATGTGGCAGATTGTGGAAATGATCGAGTTCAGTTGTTCCAATCGGGAGAATCAAATGGCATCACAGTAGCTGGAGGTGGATCAGTAAATCCAACAACTACGCTTTGTCTTCCAGTTGGAATTATATTAGATGCTGATAAGTATTTATTCATTGTGGATGGTAGCAATCATCGCATTGTTGGTTCAGGCTTGAATGGTTTTCGATGTTTAG